TCTCCCCTGGCTCCATCCTCCAGGGTCGGGTCGGTCGAAAGTCGGGACGATCGAAACGGGTACGGACAGAACGGGTACAATGCCCTAGCCGCAGTTCTTATTCATTTGGATCAGGACTCGCTGTCCGCGCCGCTGCGGTCGCTGTTCATTTCAGACAGGAGGCCGCCTGCCCAACATTAGCCGCTTTCGGTTTCGGACCGCACTCGTTGTTGGGCACCTTAGCGATTTGTCCGTGTCCATTCCGGGCGTTCGAAGACAGGGGTGGGGGACGGGGACAGGGACCCTGACGTTCCAGAGCGCTAAAAAATAGCACTCCAGACCTATAGATCTATCTGGACTGCCTCAGACCTCGACAGGGATTAGGACGTCGACGTCCTGGTGCTATTTTGTTAGCCCTCCTGGAAGGTCAGGGGAAAGGGAGGGTGATCAGGAGCAGCGATCATTAGGTGCGGTAGGCTCAGGGAGGAGCGCAGCGACCCCAGGCGCCCGCTCATCGCCGATAGAGGGGCCCGATAGGGCTCGTCCAGCTCGCGACCGTGCGGCTTCGCTAAGGGGAGGGGCCATCGCCAATCCATCGGCGATATACCTCAGGAGAGGAAAAAACACACAGACACACTGAATCCTCGATTCCCCAGAAAATATGGGAAAACATGGGAAGTGGTGGGGAAGACAGAAACCCAGAAAATATAGGAAAATATGGGGAATAGTTTTATTTGTGTGTATCTATTTGTGTGTCTCAGGGCCCCTTCAATACCGCCGAGTCCAGCTTGACGTTCCCCTCCTGGAGCTGGTCCCCCGCATCGTTGCCCATCAGGGAGGCGCTGGACAAAATCAGCTACGTCAGCCGATTCTCTAACCTCACCTTCTCGTCCGACCAGACGGGGGCCACCCGTGCGTAGTATAATTTATGGTGTATCAGAAGTTGGCTACTTTCCTCACGGTCCACGCTCCCACGTTAGGCTTGAATGTGGGAGATTATTTGGTCATGGGGCTTGAAAGCACCGTCGGGGCCACAGTACGGGTTTGGGGTCTCTGGGGTGATGGGGTTTTCAAAACCGCTGCCGTCAGAGCCCATCTATTTCTGTTACGCACGTGTGTTGGCGGATTGTTTTTGATGTGTTTTTGCTCTTCCCGGACCCTTGACGGTGAGTGCTTCCACGAAGTGCCACTTGAGGCACAGGGCTGTGCCAGAGATGCACGCGGTCGTTGGGGCGGGTAGGGTGTCGTGTGTGCGCTCGCCCGTATCACTGCGTGCATGTGCAATTGAACACGATATGGTATTGAACCCTCCTGCAGGAGCGCTAGAACGCTAGAACGCGAGGAGCAGCATGAGGAGGAGGAGGAGGAGGAGGAGGACAAGTGTAAACGCAACGCGCATCAACGATGTTGCAATGAACCCTTCCTCCGAGTTCCCTCTTCCAATGCCCCTAAGAGGATCTGGGCCCATTGCGGGAAGTGGCCCACTAGGAGGCAGTCGTCTGTGAAGCCTCAATCGTGCCAACACAGTGTTCTTTGGTCTTTGACGCCGCGGATCAAGGTGACTGTTGCGTGTTGACAGTCTTGGATCGCGCCGGGACACCTTTCCTGGGATGTCAGCATCGCGAATCGACGCGACTGATGCGTCCTAACTGTCCTGCACCGTGCCAAAGCACCATTCCGGGGACTTCGACCATTCGAGTCTTTGAAACCGTTGCAAACTTGTCGGCAAGTGCTCGCGTCGCTTAAGGCGAAAGCCACATCTTGAACCGCCTCCCGTCCTTGAAGTTGCTGCACACTGTTGAGACGACTGTGCGAGGCGCTGAAGCGAGAGCCGGACTTCGAACACGGCCCGCCCTCCGTCCGTGAAGCTGTCGTGCACTTTTGGGGCATCTTGGGATCGGCGCCAAGGCGATAACCACACTCGGCAACGCGCAGAGGGGGGTAGGGGGAGGGGGGAGGGCTTCTTAGAAGCACCCCTGCTTCTTAGAAGGCGCGGGCCTTCTATATAGACGTACGGCCGAGGCCTTCTAAGAAGCAGGGTGCTTCTAAGAAGCCTTCCCCCCTCCCCCTAGCCCCTTTTGCGCGCCGCCAACACGCTTTGAAGACCACCCGCCCTCCATGCGTGAGCTTGTTGCGAGCTCTTCGGACGAAGGTGCGCGGCGCTGAGGCGACGAGAGCCACATTTTGAAGAAGATCAGGAGGGAAAAAAACACACACAGACACAATTAATCGTCGATCCCCCGGAAAATGTTGGAAAATCTGGGAAGTGGGGGGGAAGACAAAACCCCAGAAAACATGGGAAAATAGTGGGAATATCTTTGTTTGTGTGCATTTGTTTGTGTGTCCTGGGGCCCCTTCAGAAGAGCCCGCCCTCCCTCCCCGTGACGCTTTTGCGCGAACCTTCCGCAGGAAGGTGCCCCGCGCGCAGGCGGGCACCGCCTTTTGAGGAAAGGCCCGCCCCCGCGAAGTTGTGCTAAAGGCTAAGCTTCAGCAGCGATGAGGACGTCTCGGGCGAAACGCG